TCCCTGGCCGACACAGTAGGCCGCTAGTCGACTTAGGTGTCCCAGTCAATGTAAATCGCAGGCCCCAGCTATGTCCCTATTTTTAAAGTGGATCCCAGAGGCCAGGCCACGTTAGGGGTATTATGTTCAGGAATCATTTGGAGCACCTTGCAGGAGCTTCCAAATGCAGCAAGGCTATGTCATGTTATTCAATTGGAGATTTCAAAGCAGGCGGCCGTAAGGTAAGTTGAAGAGTTTGGCTGGAAGAGTGATAAAAGGTCTGCCGTTGGCACCGGTAACATAAACGGAGGAACGCCCCTAGTCATATTGTTGGCGATTCTTCCCATCAAGTTCCATAAGTTGAATGCGCTACATTCTCAGAAAGTGTGGATGTCATTGCACTCGAACCTTCCTCAGCATAGGAGCCACAGGCGCATTTCCATAGGATATCTTAATTCCTTTGCTTCACAATGTCCTTCATTTGTCAGAAAAACACGCTTAATGGGAGGTATATGGCTATAGTTGCAAAATAACAATTGTTGATGCGGGCGTCGCAGGCGATTAGGTTGCCGTGTCGGCCTTAATGTACCCTGTGTGTATGTGCCACATAGTCCATGGTGGTGTGCAGTAGTAATCTGGCGAGGATTGCACAATTTAATTGCTTATAAACACTTTTAAAAAGGCATCCGCTGATGATAAAACCGATGGAAAATGTACTGACATCTGAAATGATCAGATGATGCTGGCGGCCGAAATGTAGTCTGCTTATGCATGAGCAGACTTATGCTTATGAGCGACTCTATTCTTAATTCGGGATTAGCTTATTAGAATGACATCTTGTTCAGGAATGGTGGGGCCATTTTTCCCACGATATGAGGGAAAGTATTTGCATATTATTAAGATGGTGCTGCAAGCGTTGCATAGATTGAAACTATTTTGGCACGTTTAAAATGGGTGAATAAAGCTGACGACCGAAAGGTAAAAAGTACGATTATGCTCATCAACGACCATATTATTGACTCGAAGTTGACTCACCTGAAAGCATTTTGTTCAGGAATGATGTTAAACACCCTGCAGTCGTTTCCAAACGCAGAAAATCAATATCACGCATTGAAATCGTAGAGTTCATAGTAGAGGACCGGAAGGTAAATTGAAGGTTTGGGCTGCAAATGTCATACAAGATCTAGCGCTGGCACCCAAACCATAGACGGAGGAACGTCTCAGAAAGTGAGAGTGCTCATAGTCTTATTGTAGTCGATTCTTCACTCCATTGCCATGACGCTAATACTCCGCATACATTATCAGAAAGTGTCTAATGGTGAGGGTGCCATAACACTCACGGAACCCGCGTTTCAAGACTAGGAGAAACCATTGTCATCTAAATCGTGTCAAAATGGTGTCAGCCAGTGGTTGCACCGATGGGCACTATTTTGGAATGTTTGTTAAAGACAGATAATGCTGGTAGCCGAAAACGTTGAGTCAGTTTATGCCTTTTTCCGGCCCCATTGGCAACTCAGCGTGGACATGTTTGAATGCGGTGTGTTCATGGATCACTTGGACCTTCTTGTAGTAGTTTCTTGAGGAAGCTTGCTGGGAAAGGTGGGTTTCCGCCATCATCAGGTTCCCTAGTGAGACGAAACGAAGACCATAACTCGTGTCACGTGACATCATGAGTGGCAGATAATACGCGGCTCATTTTTTAAATTTTATTTTTGTCAGATGGCATCACCATAATAATGTAAGCCACGAGTACGTAGGCAGATGCACGTATACCGTAACAGTCTCCCCGAACGTCGTGAGGAGCGGGAAAACACAGTCGAAAAGCATGTCTCACTGAAAGTTGGACTGACGACTGAACTGACGACTGATTCATTCATCCCACCCACGTCATCGGTAGGATGCAGCACCCGTGTTATTATGAATACCTGCTCAGTTTTCAATGTTGTCATCATAAGAAGGTTGTGAATCCTTGTGACGTGAGAAGTAAAAGAAGTCCAATCTTCACATGCCTACCAGTGACGTCATGAGGAGCACAAAACTTGCCATTGGGATGATTTACCCGGCCTGGCAGCGACGTTTCGTCGGCTGATTAGCCGATCCCCATTACAAACCTAAGCCAACGCTCTTTCCTCTGCAAACGTTGTCGGCCGAAAGGTGAAGAACGCTGGTATGTCGATAAGATGTCGGGCGAAATAAGCCAGGTGTTCAATTAGGAAGGCCATTATTTCTAAACTGTGTAGCGCCAAAATGCAGGTGTGTAGGTTAAGAGAATTTCATAAACGACTCGCCGCTACGCGCCTGATGCAAGAAACTTGCGCGCAGTGTGATGCCGGTACAGCTGGTGAAATTCACACTGGGTAATCCCTAATGAAATCGTGCACCGCACAACGTGCATTGCCATCTAGCGAGGCGGGCGGCAGACTCATTTTCGGTGACGCCCTTTATTATGTTGATTGTGCCTCCCGTCTGTGGTGCTACGTGCACCCACAGACAATGCTTGCTCTATAGCAATTGAAATGACAACATTAATCAACCACCTGCTGTGATAAGCTAATGGATCATGTGTATGACAGCTAATCAATGAATTCAAATGAATTTCTATGGATACTATCCGCGTGAATTTTCGCTCGCACCCAAGGCGTGCAATGAACGTGCATATGGTGTGGTATACTGCTCCGAGTGCCGGCGCCATGCTACCGAATGCCAGAGCAATGTTCTGTCAGAGCCAAGCCCTTTGGTATGGCATGCCTCTGACAGCACAATGACTGGCTAATTGCATGCTGTTATAAATGTGCTATTGGCTTATGATGAATACCCGCGTGTGATATTTCTCAAGAAAACGCTCCATCTAGGGCATTCAATATTAATATTACGTGCGTTAAACATGCGTTTGGCTCGCAGATTGCGAGCAAAGCGTGGCGTCACGTTCCACAATCAATCACCGGTCTCGTGGAATAGGTTCGCCTGTGTCGCAGAGAACGCAGGCGAAACGCGCTCTCTCCTACCAGCAGCCGCCAGAGGCCGCATGCACCGGCGCTACGTGTTTTTTTTACGTTTTACGCCTTATCTCCGCAACATGGGCATGTACAGGCGTGAAACAAAGTGCGAAATGTCCCTAATAGAAATTTTCACGTTTTTCGCTCGATTGGACAGATTAATGTCTTTAACTTCGAACGACGTATCTTGCTCTTTTCCCCAGTTTTACACATTTTATGCCACATCGCCGCACCCAGGTCACGGATGCACCTGGGATATGCATTGATGGGGAATCGAACAGACAATCATGTGATATAGTTTGTAGCGTCACGTGTACGCGAGCCAGGGCAAATGATTTGGCCGGTACCGACCGTTTTTCATTGTTCGATACAATACGATGTCGTTAAATACGACGACAGTGCGTATTGCCATCATTCAAAAGGCCGGCATTTGATGGAAAAGGCAAACATCATCGGCCACGTCCCGCGATCAATCGCCGATCCCATGAAATAGGTTGCTTGTGTTGCAGAGAGCGTGGGCGAATGCGCTCTCTTCCGCCTGTGGCCGCCAGAGGGCGCCGGCACTGCGTGCTGCTCGCGGCCAGTCTTTCACGTTACGCTTCATATCTCGGCAACCAGGGCACCTAGAACCATCAATCGAATTGCAAAAGATAGATAGTTAAATGTTCTACATTATTCCCACCGAACACAGCGGAGCAGGCGTGCATGCTTTCTAATTACGTAGGTACGTCTAATACGCACTTAAATAAATACTAAATACTTTCTAATGTACGTCTTCTAATTTTCTAAGATTTCGTATATCTCGTACACCGACTCCTGTGTCGACGGGACACTGCAGGTCCGCACATCGAAAATGCGTTGTCCGCGCCCGCGGCGACTCTGCCTCAGACGTTCCTTCGCCATTCATTTCGACTGGCGTTCGCATCGTGCAGCTCAGTACTGAGACCGGAAAGGAAGAAATCCGTCCGCTGCTGCCTCAGGGCTCTCATTCTAAGACGCTGCACACACGTCGATACACCCGTGTAATGAACAGCCGGCACAACAGCGACAGGAACATGCATGGGTACGTGATTTGGTGACGCGGGTGCAAGCACACTGCGGTGTGACCAGCGCGTCGTCCGGCGCTTGGACCTCACCGTCTCCCGGATGGCTGCGGCCGGACCCCAGCACGGGCCCGCCGCAGACCCCGGCATGGACGACCGGCGACGCGGGCGGCAGCGCCGGTCAGCACCGACTCCGGGGGAAAGTTACATCGTCCTGCGGCTCGGGGAGGCAGCGCACGAGGAGCGTCGGTCAATACAGGGGGCCGTGAAGGCTGCGGCCTGGGGCCGGTGCATCACACTTGATGGGGGGGGGGGGGGGGGACGGTCGCAGCACATGCGACGGAGGGTTGGTTATGAGGAATGAGGCATGGTCGGGCCTTCCGTGCCCGATCTCTAGGTGGCATAGGCACAAGCGTACCTGTGCGGTGCACAACACAGTGAGAAGCAGCTGACGTGACATTTAGGAATGTTCCCGTGAAAACACACTCTCATCACCCGCGAAGCAGCTTTGGAAGCTCTCTGTAATATCTAAAGTACGCTCTCTGTGAAAGCAAGCTCTGCAATCACGCATGAGACTCTCCCGGCCAACACGTTTAATTCGCGGCAGGTGGTACCCGAGTAAAATTCATCCGCGACAGGCGCCGATGGAACGCGGCGACGCGATTATGGCCAGCGCCCCTGGGACGCGCGCGAGCCTCAGGCAGCAGCCGTTCCAACCATTTCACAGCGACGAACACACTACTTTCCGTACGCGCGCATACGACTTCCCGTACTCCGATGATTTCACTGCCCAGAAGCGTGAGATGACCGTCGAACATCTTCCAGTCGACGCTCGGCGAGGCGGCGCCGTACGGCTCGCGTGCGTGAATGTGTAATACCATGTAGGCTGCTCTAATTCCGCGGCTCCGCGGTTCCGCAGCCTAATGGGCGCCGCACGTGGGCCGGCGGCGGTGGCGGAGCGGCCTACGCAGGTCGCCGCGGGCTACACGGCCGCCGACTGGTGCTCGGCGCTGATGAGGTGCCAGCGGTCGTGGCGCGTGTCCGGGTACTTAAGCGCGTCGAACCAGTGGCGCAGCCGCTCGCCGTGAGAGTCTATGGACAGCTTCAGGCCGCCTGAGGAGCAGCGGGAGGGCACCGTTAGTGGCACCGCCGGTCACGACAGCCACGGCAGGCTACAGATGGTCGCGCTCGCGCCGAGCTCGTGTCTCAATGCCCCTGTAAGATGACGCGACGTCGAGCACGGAATATCAGTCCCGCGGGATTATCTGTTTCAGTGAAGATCGTACTGTCTTGGAGTTTGTGCCATGGTTAAAGAAAGGCACTGGGCGAGGGTTCGTCCCTCCGCATGAGTTCGTTACCTTTCCGTACATCATGCAACCAAACTGAGCAAATACACTGATTCATAATGTCATGTTCGGCAATCTTCCTGCTGCTCCAGGGCCTTCAAACACGGTGAGTGGGCAGCTCACCTATATAATCGTTACTCCTTCCGATGTCCTTGTCGTAAACCCGGATATCGAGGGTGTGCCGCGGTAAGTCGGTGCGACGACAACAGAAGCTGAACTCTTCGTTGAACTCGGGATTCAGAGTCTTCCGCTGAACAGCCGTCTTGTGTTTGCCGCCACCGGGCGTCAGATGCCTGCGGAGGCGCACGTCTCACCGTCAGCCCTTCCGCCATCTCCTAGGTGACACCGTGCCCCAACCTCACTCATTGTGGCCCGCTATCCGTCAGATGAATAGATGCGTCCCGGGTCAAAGGTCACCGGATGTCCGGGCGCTGGGCAGCTGCTCCCGCCTCGCCACGCGCAGCCTCACACCGTGCTGCCCGCGGGCGTCGTTCATGGGCGTTTGAGGGTATCGGGACGGCGCCGGCAGCGGGCGAGCAGACCGAGCAAGGTGCGGCCGGGCGGCCAACGCCACGCTCGCCCACGCCAGCACGACATGGAAGCGGCGCCGCCTGTCGATCACCCTCTCGGCCATCGGTGTGGCACAACACCGGGCCACGGCCGGCTGGGAGGCCGCGGCGCCGGCCGGAGGGCGCGCCCCGCCCGACCGACCCGTCAGGCCTGGCCGCCGCACCGACGACACGACCGTCAGGTCGCGGCGTTAGTCACGGCATGGCCAACAGAACGGCCCCGCCCGGTTGCAGTTGCCGGCCCCATACCAGTCGCTGCAGCCGCCACTTCCCCCCCTCCCCCCTCCCCGGCTGCAGTCATCGGCCCCACGCCAGCCGGCGGCGGCGCCACTCACACTTTGACGAAAGGGTCGGCGAGGCCGCCAGCGTCCAGGGCGGGCAGGTCGGCGCACCGCATCACGCCCACCACCAGCGTGTGACGCGTCGTGACGTACTTGAGCGACAGCAAAAGTCGGCCGCGGAACGGCGCCGGCTCCGAGTCCAGCAGCACCTATCGGCGGCGGGACAGGTCTCTGTAACGGCCCTGATGCCGAGACAGGCCGCGGTCGGGGCTCACCCTGGCGCATCCGGCGGCAGCATCGCTGCACCCGGAACCGACTGACGTTCGTGGCAGCGGAATCTCTAGAGTTCAGGAGCGGGGGGGGGGGGGGGAGAGGGGCAAGGCTTGAAGCCGTCTACATGTGTCCATATTGTGACGTAGGGTTAATGTTATTTTTAACAGTTTATTTTGGGGAGGGGGGTTGCCCGTAATTCGCCGCACTTGATTGACAGTAAAAACAGAAGCCATGTTGTGACTCTGGCGCGGTGTTCCTGGCAGTGCCTGCCTCAGGTTGTCTTATAATTCCACAAGTGGGTGACCAGGTCAACATGTGTCAGCAGCGTGCAGAAAGCGCGGAGAACTCCGGCGATCTGGAAAGTTTCGTTCGAGATGGTTTGCTGAAACACGACAGGATTGTGTGAAATGTCATTGGGATAGGATGGGATCAACCGACACCTGAGCTCATTCTCTTTTCAAGAAAATATATGCGTGCTCGTGAACTGGTTACTCCTTGACTTCACAAAAAGTGAAGCTAAATTACGGAACCCTGACTACCAGAACCATAGACTACCTTCTAAATATGCCAATTGAAGCCACAAAGCGCTAAAAGGTACTTCTCCGACGTGTCACCGTTTCGTCCGCTCGTTGGCCGCCAATCAGTATTGCCGGCGTCGCACGGCTTTCAGCCACTGGAACGCTGAGCTCCGGGATATTTGTTTCTAAGATTTGTGGTCGCGCATGTTCATGACCACGCTTCACGATATTTTTCACCACTCAATTTTGGATGCTGGTTTAACGTTTCCAGACGAACATGGGCGGTAATGGCAATACAATTTCTTTGACCGTGTTTCGATCTGCATTATACGCACCTAAACAAGGCGTGCCCTAAACCAGGAACGCCTTGTTTAGCTGCAAGCCAAGCTGAGATAGATAGCGTGTGAGAGTTTGCGCTGAGGTAGAAAATATATTTGGCATTGGTGGGCCACTTGCAATCAGAGCAGGTTCCAGGGAATTCAAATCACACCAGGCTAAGCCCGTCTCAATTTACCCCGATGTCAATATAGATGTGCCGCTTCATGTCCCAAGAGGCTTCGCCGTTACATTGATTGCACTGCTCCAGACGTTCAAGATAACCTATGCGATATCACAGCGAAGGATCGCGCATCGGTGGCGGCGCTGCTCCAAACTCATCTCATGCCAGTACCATCTCAGAAGGCCGTTACCCGACAGCATCGGCAAATTGAAAGGCAGCTCGCGGAAGCTGACCGCATTACGTGCGTTCTCCAAGGCCGGCCAGACGCCCTCGCCTCGTGCTCAGGTCGTCGAGACAGAGCGATGCTCCAGGCCGACCAGACGCCTTGTCCATAGACGCCTCCTCCGGCCGGCCAGACGCCCCCAGACGCCTCCCCTTCAGGTCACCGGGACAGAGCGTTCTCCAAGGCCAGCCAGACGCCCCTCGCCTCGTCCTCAGGCCGCCGAGACAGAGCGATCTTCCAGACCGGCCAGACGCCCGTCACCTCTTCCTCAGGTTGCTGAGACAGAGCGGCCTCCAAGGGCAGCCAGAGGCTCCTTGCCTTGTCCTCAGGTCGCCGAGGCAGAGCCACTCATCCGTGAGTCATGTTCTCCGACATGAACGATGCTGCAAATCGCCGGACAGAGCGGTCCGCCCCCTCTCCCTCCCCCTCCCCACTCCCCCGGACAGGTCGGCTTGGTACGGCCGCCCCGGTTCGCCCGCCTTTCCTGCACCTCCGCGCAGTGGATGACAGACGCTCAGCTGACTTCCGTTCTTGTGTTCAACGGAATTCTTCTGTGAAAACTAACTTCTGTGTGGAAATGCTGCACCTGTGCGGCGTAGGTACCGCCGAACCTGCCTGCAGCGGCGGCGGCGCAGGGGTCCAGACCGCTGTTGCCTGTTGAGGTGCCGATGACGCCGATACTGCGACGTCAGGCCAGGCCCGCCGCCTGACGGGCGGCGGCTGGATGACGTCAGCTGCTAGCGGCAGACGACGTCCGTCTGGCGCTGCGGTGCGGCTTTGCATGATGGCATCGACCAGCGGTCGTCCGTCCTCGGTGGCCTATCAGGGCAGGATTTACCCGATGGGAAGACGTCAGACGGGGCTGCTGATAAACGGGGCGTTCGTGAAAGCGTCGGAGCGGCTCAGACAGCCCGGGGCCAGACGTGCGCCTGGCTCGCATGATTTTGTCCTGGGAACCAAAACTGGGGTCCACCTGGTTCCTGGTTCTGGAACTGGGAAAACCCGGAACTAGTGTAGAATGGAGTCGCGGATCCGGAAACAGCCATGATCCAGCGCTCAGTCGTGCCAGGGAATCGGTAATAACTGGAGTCCAGTTATGTTAAGTTATGAGATCCGGGATCCGGAAACATTCCAAATGCATTCGAATGCCTTCGGGTTTCGAATCCGAACGCGAATTCATCAGAGGATTTGAAAAG